ACATAATTACAGAAGTAACTGAGCCAATGAAAATCAGTTTAGGCAAATACACCACGCCTCCTACCATTTCGTTTTGTTGATTTTGCATTGATAATAGTCTTTCAGATACTAGTCTATGTGATCACAGATATGGCTAGACATTATAAGAAATATGCTAAAAGAAATAAACATAAACTAAGGCTGAAAAATAAAGCTGCAATGCAGCAAAGTAAGCTGAAATTTATGCTATCACAAGTTAGAATACAGGTTGTTAATCTTTCGCATAGAAAATTAACTGATGACGAGTATTTGGTATTATCCAGAGGTTTGAAATTCATTCCTTCACCGTCAGTCAAAAGGGCAAAGCAGGACTTATTACATGATTTCGATGAATTAGCCAGAAAAATGAGATGTCGTTACTTATATCATGGTAACTTGGATCATATTCATCCCTTCAGAGTTAAATCTGGACACACGCCACCTTTAACCTGCAACACCCTTGAAAAGTACCTGTTTAATACAAAGCACGGACTATCTTCAATTCAAATTCGAAAATTTCGAAATAATCTAAGTGTTTCACAGAGGCCAATTAAATACACAACATTACACCAAATTGGAAAACTTTGACCTAAAAGCACTTAGATGTAATATCAATACATATGTCAAAGGCATGTACACCAAAGGTGTTATAGATTACTCCACATTTAATTACCTTAATAATGGTAATTAAATTGATTATGGGCCTGGGTATATGCATATCTTGCCTAAAATACACCGATTAAAAAAATCGGAATTAGTAAAAATCAATAAATATGGGTTTAACATTGATAACATAATGCCGCCATGTCAGCCAATCATATCTCAGATTGGTACTGTCACAGTATTTATTGGACGCTATATCGATTATTTTTTAGTACCTATGGTACAAAAACAACACACTTATAAAGGATAAGTTTGATCTAATATACAAGTTGGAAAGGATTAAGCCTAATGCAGATCGCTGGTTGTGTAGCTTTGATGTAGTATCAATGTACACTAATTGCCCGATTAATGAATTATTATCGGCAGTTAGAATTTCGTATGATCAGTTTGATAAATCAGATTACAAAATCAAATGCCCACCTACGGATGATTTAATCTATCTCCTCAGATCAATTTCAGAAAACAACATTTTTGATTTTAATGGACAGCTTTTTAAGCAAAAAATAGGGGCCGCGATAGGAGCAGTGCCAAGCCCGCAAATCTGTGATATACTCATGTATAAAATTATGAAAGAAATTCTTTCTAAGTTTGAACATAGAAAAAATATCTTTTTCTATGGAAGGTATCGTGATGATATTATATTAATATATCACGGCAACTGGAAAGAAATAAAGGATTTGTTAGAGTTAGCAAATAATCATCATCCGTTCCTGAAATTCACACTAGAATTTTCATCTAAAGAAATAATATTTCTTGATGTAAATATTTTCAAAGGAACTAGGTTTTCTAATAAAAATATCTTGGATATGAAAACACAATTTAAACCGACAAATGCCTCCCTTTATCTAGATCGTAAAAGCTGTCACAGTCGACCGGTGTTTGCAGGGTTTATCAAGGGCGAAGTTATCAGATACATTAGAACAACGAATAATGATGTTGATTTACAATATATTTTGTTACAGTTCAGATTGAACTTAATAAAGAGAGGATACAAGGAGATTGAAGTCGAAAAGTACACAAATGAGGCATTATCATGTAATAGATCTCATTTAATCAGAAAAAAGGCCAAAAAACACACAAAGGAAATTCCTTTAGTATTGGCAACGAAATTCAATCCATGCATTCATAAATTAAAACAATGCATTAGTAAACATTGGGATCTACTAAAACAGGATGCAGTGTGCAACGAAATATTTTCAAGCAAACCAATAAAAGCTTATGAAAAGCATAAAAATATAGCAGATCTAATGACAACGACAAAATTAAAATAAATTGATAGGTAAATCCCTGATGATGGCGGGCCTACAATGCTTAAACCCATTCATAAATGTTATACGTTTATCATTAAATTATAATACAAAAACCGCCGAAACACTAAATTAGTGTCGGATTGATGTAAAGCAATTGCAAGTCTAGTAATACTAGCAACATATGATCATTATTTTGTAATATAATTACAATAAAATACTAATAGTATGTATATGGAGTCTTCTGAATAAGATTTTTTGCTATTGGAATTCAGATTGATGTTGTAATGCGTGGTTGTTAAGTGTCACTTTTATACAATGTTAGGTGTCACTTTTATACAAAGAATGCATGATAATCGACAAGAAATGGTATTCTTTACCCATGACTTCCGAGTTTCGTTTTCTTTTCCAGATGCAACAATATGTATTAGGTTATCTATGTTTATCATTATTTGTGCGTTGATTATTTCTTTTCTGTTTCCGCTTAATGAATTTCACATGGTGTAGTAGTAACTTCTATTGTAAATAATGGTCCGAATTTAATATTTTGTTGCTATGCAAATGGTATCGTAATTTTTCCTCACGAAAAGAAATTTTGTTCTCTTTTTCCCTCAATCATGTCGATAATTTTACTGTGTCTTTCTCATTTTCATCAATTTTAAGCCACATATTTCATTTGAATACCTGTCAATTCTCAAAACAGGTCAACTTCTAGAATATCCATGTGTTCGGTTCCAAATAACTGATTACGTATATAAACGACTTTAATTTTCGCTTATAATCTGAAGTCTGCTTGCCGATGGGTTTGTTCAAATCATACGAGGTTTGAGTTAAATGTTTCATCTCGAATAAAATATCAGTAAAAAGTGAAAACAACACGGTATTAATTAAATGCGTCCGAAGCGCTTTTCTGGATTTACCTTCAACAGGAACGCTCAAAGCTGAATTTTTGAAAGCCAAGGATTTATAATTAATGCATATCGCGTTTAATCTTTGAACACAAGTTCAGAAGAAAAAAAATTTTGGCAGAATTTATGATAGCTAGAAACAGACATTCCAGAGTTTAAAGCTTCGTGATGGATACAGTTGTTCCTCTTGGAATTTTTTTGTTAATGCATTCGTGTATGTTCTTTTGTTTTATTTATTTCGGAACAGCGATTTTGTAAAATACATGTATGTACAATGCCCTTTGGCATTTATGTTGTTAAAACTCACATATACCGTTATTGATTTGCCGACCGGAAAACAATAGATCGTTTACAAAACCCTTTAGCTATTAGAAAGTACCTAACGTATGCATAAATTTACCCGGAATTTATTTTTCGCGATTTTCGTTTATCCGCCAAAATAAGGGAAAATAAACACATTGCGAAAATAACCCGCTTTACGGTATGTCAGTCTTTTGTAGTCGTAGCAACATTGGTCATTACAGTAAGTGCACTACTTTATTGTGGCTATATTCTTTCTTTCTAAATAGCACAATTGTATTGATATCATTTAAGAATGTTTTCAGTAACATTTTTGATTTTGCATCAAGAGAGCACTAATTTCTTCCAAAACTGCCACAACCAGGCATCGACGTCGATACCCATAGCACACTGAGTAACCTCTTACGGAGTACTCCATTGTTAGTAGGGTGACTTACAGGTCTTTTACTATAGTACAGCCCGTGGATGGTGTAAACTTCCCAAAAAAACGTGTATGGTGTAATGGTGTATGGCATATGGTGCAATGGCAGAAGGTGTATGGTGATATGGTGTATGGTGTAAGGGGAAAGGGAAATGGTGTAATGGTGTAACGTGCGATCGGGAATGGTGTGAACGTATGATGTACGACATTTAAAACTATGCAAAATATTGATAAGAACTGATTTTCAATTTTTTTCATTAATTTACAATATTGTGATCAAAATTCGTTTTTTAAAATAAATAAATAATTTTGTAGTCGCACGCTTTCTTTGAAATCAAAATGCATTATGGTGTAATGTGTAAGGTGTATGGTGCAAAGGTGCAACGTGTATGGTGTAATGGCACAGGGTGTTATGGTGTAATGGTGTATGGTGAATGGTGTAATGGTGTATGGTGTTAGTGGGAAGTTTACACCATCCAAGGACTGTACTAGCTCACTGTACAGAGGTATTTTTAGAAGTTATCTCATACTCTGGTAAATGTCAACAAACTATAGCTGCTGAGAAATATAATATTAGGGGAAATGATAGTTTGGATATGATATATTTTCGAGTAAAGTAAGTTTTATATTTCGCTTTGTATTTCGTATTTAAAAGTTGTTTTTGGGATGTCATCATAGTTTGGTTGACCACCATATAATATCTGTTTTACAGATGAAAAGTTATTTTTTGTTTGCGAATTTACGGAATGCGACTTATAACCAAATGTGGCTAATGGCCTCATTTGTACTGGGAAAAAGCTGCGCGGCGGTTGTAGCCAAACTAAGTGTACACGAACTGGTTAGTATTGCGATAAACCTGAGTCCATCTCGAACTTATCACGTTTTGTTTTAAAAAGTTTTGGATTATATGTATTTTGTTTTGTAAACAGATGTGCATATGTTTGTTTGTTTTTCGCATGTTCATTATTTTCTCTTCTTGATATGAATACTAGAACGATTCGGCAACAGTTTAAATAAGAGAGATAAAAACAGTATTGATTTCAATAGATGTATACCAGTCTAAAAGAAAATGCAGGAATTATACGCATTTGCATGAAGCGAGAATATCTTAGTACAATGCTTTCCATATGAGATCAATTGATGGGCTTGAGCATCACTGCAAAGACTGTAAATTTCGAAATGTGCATCAACTTTGACATGGATAGTGTGCATCATCATGTGTGTCGATGCAGTCAAACATAAAGATAAAGATATTTTATTGGTTTAAAATCCAAAATTAAAGGATTGTTACAATATTTGACAATAAAAATTAGCAAAACATAAACATACAGAAACAGATCTATCAACAGTCATATACAATGAATATATATATATTTATATATATCTTCCATTACTAAAACGAAAATATTGTTACATTAATATATATATATATATATATATATATATAATTTAATCTCTGTTTAAGAGGGGTACTACAAGGTATTTCTCAATCAAGCTAGAATTGTACATGTCACTAATGAATTTTACAATAATTCTAGTTATATCATTCTCACCACAAGCATACAAATATTTAAAAATTTTGCTTCATTAGTCATTTTCAAAAAAAGAGGTAACTATTTTACTAATTTTAGAAAACAGTTGATCTCTAATTGTATTTAGTTTTGTATATTTTATGGTAAATAAGATTCGTCTTCTACTTCTAAAAGACACAACGGACACATTCTTTCTTCTAAAGGAGTTTTATGTACGTCAATCTTATTTAAATTGAGAACACTATTACTTATGCGAATTTGAGCAAAATTTCCAAAAATTACAATATACAATATGGGATATGTCAACATTCAGCTAGAGTAAGTTCCTTCGGTTTTTGAGTTGTTCTTTATACTAAATTTGAAAAAAAGATTGCTGATATTCTGTGCCAGATAAAAAAAAAAAAACAATAAGGGAAAGAAAACCTCGATTACTTTGAAATTGGAACATCTCTCCTGTCAAGGTTAACCTTTTTCATATTCTGTCATCTTGATGGAAAGATAAACGTAATATCTGTCGAGGAGGTCGCGCTTGAAAACAGTGAACCTTGACAGCGCAAGTATTCAGTGGATTGGACGAATTAGTGCCGAATGTTCACTTTAAATGTCCGTCGGTGATTTTGCTTTAATACAAAAAGACCCTTTCTTTGACACAAAAAGGAAAACACACTTAAAGATAAACATATAAAAATTAGGTTTTTTTTCATAACAACATGAAACTGGAAAACATTATAAATAATAGCAAAAATATAATAAATAGAAATATAACTTGAGTATTAATTAAAATCAATGACTGCCAGAGGAGTTCTTAAGTTCCGTTTGAAAATTGCAGTTTTATAATGTTAATCATTATTATCTGGTCTACTTAACTTTTACCAGGAATAACTATAAGGATGTTTAAGAAGTTTATTACACTACCAATATAAGTGACAAATGTGTACGTATATGGACAGGAACATAAAGTTCATGTCTATATTTTATATGAAGATATTTTTTTAACAATATGAACATGTTGAATTGCATGATTTTATGGACAAGGGATCAATGAAATAGAAGCTAAAAATAATGAAAGATGGTTATTCCAAAAATGATATTCTCTTGAAAACAATGAAACATAAAAATTCAAACAAACCTTTACAATAGGTTGCCATGATTGACACAATTACAAAAAAATCTTTTATAAAATGTGTATATTTGATTTAAGAGATATTCTAGTCGTGTGTTATTTTGGGCGATTAAATTGAACATATAAACGACATTTTTCCTATTTTTCTCCGCACTGTACCGCCTTTCAACATAATTAGGTAGAACTTATAGTTAGCTTCATGTTTAATAAGTCATTTCAGCAGAAGAGATACCATATAAACACTGCTACTTGTGTAGGATAAGATTGTGCTTGTATAAGCTTGAACGAGTTATGTATACAACAGAAAAAAAGTATAACAAAAGTGTCGAACTCCAAAACAAATTAAAAAAGGGGAAGTCTAAAATCTGACAAAACCAAACGTTATCAATCAACAGAACAAGTGATCAACTGACATAATAAAAATGTTAACAAATCATTATACGCAATATCACAAAATTCCTTGAACAATACCTGTTGCCTGTAAAGCCAGATTTTTTATCTGGATAAAAAGGAAATCATTATAGTAAAGGTTTTAATAAGAAAAAGAAGTATTGTGTTTTGATACATTATATAAACCCCATCATTTTTTAAAAGCAAATGAAAAGCGATTGTGTAGCTGGTCTTCATATCAAGTCGCAGTAATTAAGGCTTACACATTTGCCATATTTATTAAATTTTTGAGTAAAAATTAGAAAGATATGATTATACAATATAATACAAAAAAACAAATACATGTAATAAAAAATCAAAAACATAGGATAATACGTGTATATTCAAAATAACAAACAATAGATTAATATTTCATGCAGTATGGTTATGGATGTGATTATATAACATATATCGGAGTATTGGACAATACTAATAAATATTAATTTCATTAGAGCTTAATACACGCAGGTGAATACACGCAAATATCACACGAAAAACTGAAACAACAACAAAAATCTCAGAAAAATAAAATCTTAATATATTTTTCTTTTTCTTTCAAGATTTTTATATATAAGAGGGGCGAAATATACCAGAGGGACATTAAAACTCATAGATCGAAAATAAACTGACAACGTCATGACTAAAAAATAAAAGACAAACAGACAAATAATAGTACACACGAAACAACAGAGAAAACTAAAGACTAGGCAACACGAACCCCACCCAAAACTGTGGGTGATCTCAGGTGCTTCGGAAGAGTAAGCAGATCCTGCTCCACATGTGGCACCCGTCGTGTTGCTCATGTTATTACAAACCTGGTAAATAGTCTAATTCAGTAGGTCACATTCGTGAAAAGGGAACGGGATTGTAGTTACGACATCAGGAACATATCAGATACCATCTGCCAAACGGATATTTAATAACGGTCATATATAAAAGACTTAAACAGTGTGTGTTTGTATACTTAGAACAGGGATGACAGTAAACATGCATAGATATAGGTTTTCTCTTATTTCTATTATTATCATGTCTTTCAACCATCTTCACCATACATAACCCATAATGAACGGTAATTCAAGTACCAAAGATATTTTTTATATATTCTTTTATAAAAATCCATTTTTTTTACACGAAATCAATGCCGCAAAGCATACTTCTAAAATCAGAAAAAAACAGAACTTAAATATGTGGTATCTGTGTAATTTTGTGTAAACTAAAGCATACATATTCAGCTACACCTATAAAAGCAATATCTGTCATGTCAATGACATCACATCACTATTTACAATAATTATTATGTCCACATGCTTAAAAAACATTAGATAGTAAAAAATTAAATCTGAAATGAATACGTTTTAATTTCAGGTTTTTGTTAATGAATTTGATATATTACATCGACTGCTTCGTGAGAATAGCTTTATAACATACAACAAATATATACTTTTATACTGCAACTAGTATACAGTAACACAGCTATATTCTGTGCAATGTCAATTACATCATGCAACACTTTTTCCATAGTCAGGGGTTTATTAAGGGATGAAAATAAGTTTGAAATTTGTGTTCCAATTTAAAAAGCCATCAATGTATTAATTTAAGTTGCAGTATAAAAGCAATATTAGGTCAATGTCATAAAAATATAAACTTTTTTGTACTCGGCACAAAACTGGGGAATGGCTCGGTAGAACCTCGCCCTTCCCTAGTTTCTCAGCCTCATACAAAAATCTAATATTGTATATTTATCAATAGTTATACTTTGTTAAGCAGCGATAACTTATCAAAATCAAAATTAATGCAAAAATGCTCAGTACAAAAAAAAATCAACTATTGACTAACGACCTTTTCTGTCCAGCTATCAATACTTAAACGGAAATGTAGTCAAAACTAGATTGGAAAAGAGAGGGAAGACACCAGGGGTCATATAATGATTTATTTTTTATATTTTTTAACATTCAATTTTAAAAAATAAAATCAAACCCAGTATTGCAACACTATAAACAATACCGGTATTGCTAAATAATATTTCGTTTACAATTAGAATAAGAACATACAGAAAGACAATTTATAATCATTTATTAAAATGAAATTTGTCCAACACTATCTAGTTTGAAATGATATTGTTTAAAAGGTTCCTGTTTCAATTAAGGAACACAATTTGTTCAAATATGAAAACGACAAAAGGACATAAAACAGTCAGAATGTAGCAATCGAAAATGTTTACCATTTTTTAACACATGATTTCATACTAACTGTGTTAATGTCTTTAACCTTCTCTAACGTTAACTGTCAAAAATGATCACCAGCCTCGTCAACAGTATATCTTTAAGTCAATCTACTATATATCATCTCATTTCTTCGTGTACGAGTAATGTCAGGGTGTTCTACACCATCTGCCTGATCAACCTCTCTTGACTTGTCTAAAAGTAACTGTAATATTTTCTTATTTCCCCTCTCACGAGAAATTGTCAGAGGTGTCGCTCCTATATCACTAGCAATGTTAACATCACTTCCTTTTTCTATAAGAAACTGTACTATCTTCTCATATCCTCCACTACAAGCAACTAACAGAGGTGTCTGTCGCATATCATCAACCTGGTTAACCTTACTTCCTTTGTCTACTAGTATCTGTACCATCTTCATATTTCCTACAAAACAAGCAATTATAAGAGGTGTCAGTTTCGTATCATCAACCTGATTAACATCACTTCCGTTGTCTACAAGTAGCTGTACTATCTTCTCATTTCCTCTATTACAAGCATATGTCAGAGGTGTATGTCCCGTACCATCAACCTGGTTAACATCACTTCCTTTGTCTATAAGTAACTGTACTATCTTCTCATATCCTCTACTACAAGCAACTAACAGAGGTGTCTGTCCCATATAATTAACCTGGTTAACATCACTTCCTTTGTCTATAAGTAACTGTACTATCTTCTCATATCCTCCATTACAAGCAACTAACAGAGGTGTCTGTCGCATATCATCAACCTGGTTAACCTTACTTCCTTTGTCTACTAGTATCTGTACCATCTTCATATTGCCTATAGAACAAGCAATTATAAGAGGTGTCAGTTTCGTATCATCAACCTGATTAACATCACTTCCTTTGTCAGTAAGTAACTTTACTATCTTCTCACTATTGCTAATACAAGCAGCTGTCAGAGCTGATTTCCTTTCGCCGTCAATCTTGTTAACCTCACTTCCATTGTTTAAAAGTAATTGTACTATTTTCTTATGTCTTCGACTACAAGCAGTTGACAGAGGTGTCTGCCTCATACCATCAACCTGGTTGACATTACTTCCGCTGTCTATAAGTAACTGTACTATCTTCTCATGTCCTTCATTACACGCAGCCGTCAGAGGTATTTGATTCATACCATCTACCTGGTTAACATCACTCCCTCTGTCTATAAGTAACTTTACTATCTTCTCATTTCCTCCACTACAAGCAGCTATCAGAGTCTGTTCGAAAATCTTACTTCCTTTGTCTATAAGTAACTTTACTATCTCCAAATATCCTTCCCTACAAGCAGCTGTCAGAGGTGTCACCAACATATAATCAAACTGATTGATACCACATTTTTGGTCTATAAGTAAGTGTACTATCTTCTCATTTCCACTTCTACAAGCAGCTGTCAGAGGTGTTTGCCCCTTACCATTAATTTGGTTAACATCAATTCCTCTGTCTATTAATAAATCTATTACATTCGTATTTCCTCCTAAACATGCAGCTACCAGAGGTGTCTGTTCCATATCATTAACCTGGTCAACATGACTTCCTTTGTCCATAAGTAACTTTACTATCGTCTCATGTCCTGCACTACAAGCAGCTGTCAGAGGTGTCTCTCTCTCACCGTCAACCTTATTAACCTCGCTGCCATTTTTTATGAGTAACTGTACTATCTGCTCATTTCCTCTACTACAAGCAGCTGTCAGAGGTGTCTGCCTCATACCATCAACCTGGTTAACATTACTTCCATTGTCTATAAGTAACTGTACTATCTTCTCATGTCCTCCACAACATGCAGCTACCAGAGATGTTTGGCCCAAATCAACAACCTGGTTAACGTCACTTCCATTTTCTATAAGTAATTGTACTATTTTTTTATGTCCTACACTAGAAGCAGCTGTTAGAGGTGTCTGCCAAATACCATTTGCCTGACCAACATCACTTCCTTTGTCTATAAGTAACTGTACTATCTCCAAATGCCCTCCTCTACAAGCAGCTGTCAGAGGTGGCTGCCCAATGCCCTTAACATGACTAACCTCACTTCCTTTGTCTATAAGTAACTGTACTATCGCCAAATGCCCTCCTCTACAAGCAGCTGTCAGAGGTGTTGGTAAAATATAACCATGCTGGGTAATATCACTTCCTTTCTCTATAAGTAATCGTACTATCTTTGCATTTCCTTCTTTACAAGCAACTGTCAGAGGTGTTTCCCAAATACCACTTACCTGGTTAATATTGCTTCCTTTTTTTATAAGAACCTGTATTATCTTCTCATTTCCTCCCTTACAGGCAGCAGTCAGAGGTGTATGAATCGAATCACAATTCTTAATATCAACACTTCTAGAAATAAAGTATTGAAATATGTCATAATATCCTCGTAAGCATGATAATATGAATGGTCTTTCTGTAAAATACGTTTTATTTTTAACATCATCATCATCATCATCATCATCGTCGTCGTCATCATTTTCTGAACAATCTTCACATTCCATTTGTGGTATGAGTATCGTGTCTTCTACTGACTTTAATATTTTGAGGAATAAAGTTCTATATACTTCATATTTCATTTGTGTATTATAGAAACATTGAGTCATCTTTCCAAGTAGTAAATCGCTTTTAATTCTCTCAAAATATTCATGTTCATGCTTCCTTGATATCATTATAGTGAATTGGTCAGATTGGTCCTTAACAGATTCCAGCTTTGTTCGTTGATTGAATACTTGGATGTCTGAATAACGCAATATACTTCTCACAAAATAATCCTTGTTACCGAAATAACAACACATAAAGTCAAACATTTGGTCATGTATCACCCTATACTCAGTTCTTGATTTCCTTATATAAGTGCCAATCAAGTTGTTCAAATATGTTTTAATCTTACCTCTAGATGTACTAACATTGATACTGCAGATTTCAAAAATGTGTTCAAAAACTGATTTGTTTTTGGTATAATTTTTATTATTCACATCAAATAATGATTCCTTCATAATGCCATTATAAATAACACATACAAATAACGAGCAATATTTGTCTGGATTTAATGCCTTTAACTTGTCCCATTCCTTTTTGTATGTTTCGAAAGGACATTGCAAAAACTCAGTCAGATTAAACTTTTCGTTTTTGGAATAAAGATAACACATCAGCGGCGTAAAATCTACATTTTGATCTTCCAACAGTTGGATATCAGCTTCAGATAAATAACTTCTACAAATCTTTATTTTGTCCTCCCTTGTATATTTTTCAGACAAATTAAAGATATTGGATTTGAAAACAGTGCATGATTCTTTGAATTTTTCATCATTGTAAATATCTAATCGACACGTTGCTGCAATTTTTGTCTTCCCATTTTTCAGAATTCTTTTTAACTGGTCTTCGTTATTCATCCAATGCTCGATATCAGACATGCTAACTGTGAATCGTCCACAAATGTCATCCAGAACAAAAATCTGGCTATCGTCTTTTTTATAATGTTGCAGTATATCCTGAATACCAGTACATGGAATTATATTATAATCAATATTCTTCTGTACTTTTAAAGCAACACTATGCATTAACATGCTCTTACCAATACCTGGTTCTCCTACTATTAAGACGCTGTGTTCTGATTTCATGATCTCTGAAATCACGTTTACCACAGGCGTATCAACAAAAGTAACTCCTTGTTCTTTCCAAAATTCAATTTCGACTTTCTGAGAATCTACAAAAAAAGTAAACTTGCACTTTTTTTTATTATTTAAAATAAATTTAAATTTCTACTTGTGATTTACATTTTTATTCCATCTCAAACTATGCTTTGTATTCAAAACTAGTGATGGTGTTAAAAAATGTGTCATTTCATAATACAAAATGTATCATAAAAGCACTGTTTAAAAGCCTGTAAAACTACAATGTGCAGTGTAAAACTATATTCGGTCCGGGAACACAGTTATCGTCCTTTGATTTTTGTTGTCCACGAATAAAGTCCCTAATGTGGACAGTTGGTTACTTGCAATTTTTTTAATACCCCTTCCAAATTTGTTTCTCAATGTTTAATGCCTCAAATAGCAAGTAGGGGAGGGGGGGGGGGTAAAGGGGGGGGGGGGGACCGGGGGGGGGGGGGTGAAATTTCACTGCAAAATAATTTGGGTCGCGAATTCTAAAGTAAAGAAGTGATTTGGTCCAGCTGAAAAGGTTAAAAATAAGCATTTCGGAAGCTGTCAAAAGATTTCAAGACCCCCCTAACTTACAAATGTCCATATGTTGCGTTAGAGCTGCTGAATTTTTCTATAGTTTTGATATAATTTGTCCCAACAGTAGTACAACACTGTAAAATATTATTTAGAAAGCGTAGGTGGTATATTTTTTTATTTTCAGTTATTGTCTTAAAGAAATGCACTACGAAATAACTGTTCTGTGGTCATTTGTGTGTTCTTGAACAAATGGGGAATCAGAAAGACATTCCTGAATAAGACCTCACAAATCAAAGGAAAATAGCAAATATTTTCCGTTTGAATGCAAAGAAATTCATACATTATCAATACTGAGTTTACTTTGTGATTTCTGTTAATTGTTGCTTCGAATGAACTGGCAAAAATTCATAGGTATAATGAAAGATATCATGTTCATCCCTCATTATATATGTATATAGTATTCTAATGTATCCAACTTTATTTCATAAGATTTTTTTTGACAGCTCATCTATGTCAGCAAAGTATACATGATGGGTCTATACTAAATTGTGTTATTGTCAGTTGTTTACTTTGTAATTAATAACGTTACGCAGATTTTGTGAAAGCTAAACAAATTGATTGATCAGCATTTATATATCGAAAATAAAATCAATCATTAACTTTAATCAGAAAAAGTAGGGTCAGCTAAAAGGATGAACAAATTTGGATAAGTATCCCAGCAAAGGACTTAAATAAAAATATCGAGTTGAAACCTCAGTTTCAGTCAAAATTGCAAAAGCATGTTTATATGAGAATTTATAACAAGAGGCTCCAAGGACCCCTAATCGCTCAGTTGGATGAACATGAAAATGCATTATGGACAGTGACAATCATCTTTCACTCTTAAATGTATTGTGACCAATTCGGTAAAAATCCACTAACAAAGGTTCACCTAGTTGCAGATCTGCTGATCATTTAAGAAGATAACAGTAATTTATATCATTATCAGTTTTCAGGAAAGTAGCTAAATTCGAAAAAAATGGATTAAACATCCACTGAACGACGCAAGTTCTCTATGAAGTTGATGACAATTTCAGTTCTGTTTTTGTTGACTTATTTCAAGATCTTATCTTTTAAAGGTTATAATGAAGTGTTCAGTTTTTCACTAATAAGATACTATAACTTATTGTGTTATTAAATTACGAAAATTGAGGCAATAAGATGTCATAACAAAACAGATTGTTGAAAAAATCCATTAAGTATGTGATTGCAAAAAAGATTGTCTATATGTGATGCGACATCTGTTAACATTTTCCCCTATCTATGTATTTGCATGACTTTGAGGGATGCAACATTACCAATTAAAATCCGTATTTATGGTTATACAACACATTATTTCAAAACAAATTGACAGAAATAATAATGTCAAAATAGGAAAGTGTCAAATGACAGAGAAAAGAACTGTTTCAAATTATGATTTAAGAAAGTAATACAATTATCCATTGTATTGCATCAAAAGCTCAAACACATCAAACTAATGGAAAACAACTGTCATATTCCTCATGTAGAAAATGATGGATTAAACCTGGTTTTAAAGCTAGTTATACCTCTCTCTTGTAATACAGTCGCATAACATTCCATTATATTGACAACAATGTGTGAACAAAACAAACAGACTTAATAAGTAAAAATATCAAAAATAGGAGTAAAGCAGTCAATATTGTTTGTTATAATCTCAATCACTATAAAAACAAATAAATCTATCAACAAAGAAAAACAAAATGGCAAAATGACAACAGCACAACAACACAATGCCGATTAGATTAAATAATCATATATTATACAGATCCAATTATCATTGACATAAGCTTATATTTAAATTTCAACTGATAACTGATTCAGAAGAATGTTACTAATTTTCTAGGTACATTTTTGGAAAAAAAATTTCATTTACTCGTTTAAAATGCACTCTACAACTGTGACATACATTAATAGAATTTAATTGCATTGTTTCCTGAAATCCTACATAACAACAAATGCTAGTTATATCACCTACCTAATAGTGTGTCTTGATTTTCCTCTATAGCCAACAACCTCTGCAAAGAAAGAATGATATAATATGTGATTCCTATAATAAACGATTAAACTTAAGGCACTAATAACCTATTTCGCTCATCTAAACATAAAAGCATTTACATTTTTCTCTCCAAAATTAATTACTAAAATAACTCATCAGACTACCGTTTGTCCATCTTGCATTGCTGAAAAAGTTGCCTGTTTTTATTTTCTAACTTAAAGTGTATGCATAATATGCACAAAAAGGGTAAAACTTATTATATAAGGATACAAACTCCTATGAGGATATTTCAGTTTAAAAAAAATCTTAATCTTCTGTAGTATTGACCAAATATCCAACAAAACTAGAGGTTCTCAAGAGCCTGTGTTGCGCACCTATAGTTTTGGAAATCATGTTAAATAAAGTCAAAATCTTATAGACATGATAGATACCCTAATAATAATTTAGGCCAAAAAAAATCTGGGCAAGGTTTTTTTTTACCCCGACTAACCAACCAGGTCTGGGGGCATTCACCCAATATAAGTATGCTCAAAAATATATATATAATAGTATATAGAAAAAGTAACACTGGATAAATCTGAAAATAGAAAAAATCAAGGAGAAATTATAAGCACCTCCCCTGAATCAAATTGCACCCCATGGAAAAAAAAACAAGTCATCCCATTGCAGTCTTATCAATATTTAAATTAGTTTTCAAGTTGTGACCATTTGAAAATGTTTTTTTACATTTTCCCCATAGAATTCTATAGTAAACCATTATGTTTTATTTTTACCCAATGTGGACCATGTTGGTTGTAGGGCAGGGTCATCGAATACATTTTCAATCGATATACTCTAATTATAATTATGCTTATGTTTAATTCTTTTGGCCAAGTAGTTTAGGAGGAGTAGATTTTTGTAAAAGATTTTTTGAAAAATCTACGAAAAACAGTGAAAATTGACTTTAAAGAGCATACCTCCTAAAGGGGTCAATTTTATTCATGTTGACCTGCTAAACATTTTAACCCCGTAAGATTTGCTCGAAATGCTTTAGTTTCAGAGATATAAGCCAAAAACTGCATTTTACCTCTTTGTACAATTTCTAGCCATGGCAGCCATAATGGTAGCTGGGTGAAGTCATCTGATACATTTTTTCAAACTAGACACCCTGCGGATGATTTCGGCCAAGTATTGTTTAACTGAACCCAGTAATTTCAGGAGAAGATTTTTGTAAAGGAAAACAAAAATTTACAAAAAATTGTGAAAAATTGATTTTAGAGGACAATAACTCCTTTAGGGTTCAATTGACTATTTTGGTTATTTGACTTATTTGTAGAACATTGTACTTTGCTGAAAATTTTTGCTGTTTACAGTTTATATCTATGTTTTATTATATTCAAGATAATGACCAAAAACTGCCAAATGTCCTTAAAATTATCAATTCAGGGGAAGCAACCCAACAACGGTTTGTCTGATGTGTCTGGAATTTACAGGGCAGATAGATCTTGACCTGGTGAACATTTTTATTTTTGTCAGATTTGCTCTTTATGCTTTAGTTTGAGATATATAAGCCAAAAAATGTATTTTATCCCAATTTCTTTTTTTAGCCATTGTGTCCATCTTGGTTGGTGGGCAGGGTAATCGGATACATATTTTCACTATATACCCTAAGGATGATTTAGGCAAAGTTTGGTTTAACTTTGCACAGTAATTTCAGAGTAGAAAATTTTTGTAAAAGATTACAAAAAATTACCAAAAAATGTGAAAATGTTACTTTAAAAGGACAATTACTCCTTAAGGGGTCAATTTACAATTTTGGTCATGTTAACTGTTAACTTATTTGTAGATATTAGTTTTTGCTGTTTTAAGTTTATTCCTATCTATTTTAATATTCAATATAATAGCCTGAAATTGCAATTTTTTTCTTAAATTTACCAATTCAGGGGCAGCAACCTTAAAACGGGTTGTCTGATTCGCCTGAAAATTTCACGGCAGATAGATATTGACCTGATACACATTTTTCCGCTACGTCAGATTTGCCCTTAATGCTTTACTTTCAGTGATATAAGAAAAAAGAACTGTATTTTTCCCCTATGTTCTACTTTTAGCCTTGATGTCATCTTGATCCGTGGGCGGGGTCATCGGATTCATGTTCTTATGGATAAATGCATTTCAACATAATCTTTTTACTTTGAATTAATCAGTGCAGTAAGAGGATGTCATCAATATAGCAGACCATGAAGTCAAACGATATTGACATATAGCTTTTCTTAATTTCACATTGAAAGCTTCTGTATGAAGTCTGCTGCCTCGGATGAATAACAGAACAAGCCAGCTATAAATTGAGCACAATTGGTTTTCATGGACCAACCTATTGTTTGTAAAAAAACCAGCATATCTTCCTAAATGTAACAAATACCGGTATGTTGACAATTAAGCATCTTGATCATGTCAGTTTTAGAGAAGTATATGCTTGAATCAGAGTTGTTTTGTACAAATAATGAGTCACCCCTCCTTAAACAAGATATTTGAATCTATATAAATTTATATGTTGCAGCCTTGGTGAATAGTTGTCTCTTTGACAATCATTCCACATACCCTTAATTTAACATTGGAAGAAGATTCCATAGCTAAGTAATATGTTGGGTTCAGTATTACAGAAACTTTAAGCAAAAAATACCAAATTGCTTAGAACTAAACATGTATGTTGTCCGCACAAAAGTCATTGTACAGGTGTTGATTGTCATAAATAAAAATTGAGGAAAGACTAAGCATATCAAAAATACTGAACTCCAAGGTAAATTCAACTTAAAGCTCTAAAAACCATGTGTCGCTCACCTACATCTTCAACTTATTTTGAAAAACATCTTTAAAGAAAAGATTAAGAGTTAACTGACGACAATATTGACGTTTTTATAGATTTCATCCTCCTGAACATTTTTCTATTTTAAAGATTATATTTATGTACTTTAGTATTCATGATAATAGGGAAAAACGCCCAAACATGGTAACATTTATCGTTAAAGGGCAATAACAATAATCAAGAGTCAAATGAATATTTCAACTATGATGGCTTATTTGTAAATTTTCTCTTGCTGTTCATTTATACTTTTAACGTTTCTATGTTTCTGTTATATTTTCAACGATAATAGGCAACAATGAAAAGTTGGGGAAAGTGCAATAACTTAAGGAAGGAGTCGATCAACGACTTAAGTCGAACAGACTTATTGCATATCTTGTCTTGCTGATCTCTTTTGTTATTTAAAATGTATATCTGTCTATTTAAATTTACAAGATAATAAGCAAAAACGCAACAAAAAAAAATGGTACAAATCGTCATTAAAGGGCAATACGGTGTCGATTTCAATCATGTTAACTTATTTAAAGATCTTGTCTTGCTGATAATTTTCATAATTTACAGTTTCTTTCTATCTATTACAACTCTTTTAAGATAATGGGTAATTTTTGTTTCAAATGGCAAATTCTTCATTTAAGGGCAGTGTCAACAGACATTAGGTAGATCCCATTATTCTGAATATTTTTGCCCCTGTCAGATTTACTCTTTCTTTTAGGTTTTCAAGATAATAGCCAAACATTGCATTTTACCCCTTTGGTATATTTTTAGTCATGTCAGCTATGATGGTTAGTAGGCAGGGTCATATTACACATTTTTACACTAGATACCCAATTATGATTTTGGTAAAGTTTGTTTCATGTTGGTACAGTAGTTTCTGATGAGAAGATATTTGTAAAAGTTAATCGACTCCGATGGATGACAACGACGACGGACAACGATGATGACGACGGACGACAAGTGCCGAGAAAAGCTCACTTGATCTTTAGGCCGGGTGTGGTAAAAAGGGAAAGTTAATAAAAACTGACAAAATCAAATGTTATCAACCAATAGAACGAGTGGAAAACGACGGTCATATCATGTGGGGCAGGTGCATTACATTTTCCATTTTTCGAAAAAATCTTTATAAATATTCAAAAGCGGTGTCACTTAAAGTAAAAGGTTATTGTCAATAACTTTTCATATTTAACCAAAAAGGAATGATAGCAAACACCATCCACAAAAATAACATATCGATATTCACTGTGAAGGGACTTTCCCTTTTGATTTTCCTTGAAGTTCGGTGTTTTTGTTGTTTTATTTTATATCAACTTAATCAGATGAGTCTCCTGTTTTGTTTAAGTCAGAAACAATTAACAGCTGACAGATTTTGTAAGTTGATTGTTTCAACGTAGACATTTCATAAACTCACTCAAATAGATCCAAAGGTATAACAAATCTCAAAAGGTTCAAATAAATTTACTTAATTCCTACTTACTTTGTTAATCTCAAAAAATCTTGTCTCCGTGTCGTTCTTCAACTGAGTCAATGTACTTCTAATGGTGGCCCAGTATTCTTGTGCCTTCTTGGTCTCCAAAGAATTAGTGTCTGTTTCGTTTGCTACAAGTTTTAAATTCTCCACTAAAACTTGCAGTAGTCGACAAATCTCATCAGTACCATTCAAAGAACTTGGACCTAAAATAAAAAAGCGTAACAGCTAATATCAACATTAAGTTTAATTAACGACCGAAATATTCATAAAGTGTCAAACATGTTTAAGTTGATCCTAAATGAAAAGAGTAAAATTTATGAAATACCATCGTCAATTGTTATCTTTCTGTCTGACTTATGACATTTATAAATATTTTTCAGCCACGTAGTAGATTGGTAAGAGAATATTTTCAAATCTGCTATAGTTGTGTAGAGGTGCAAGGGGTATATGTGGAAACTGTAGTATTATTGTTATGCACCAAATGTTAACCTCAAACAACAACAGGGGCCAATCTATTTTGTTCATACTGAGGGCTTGTTCATTTTTGCTCTCGCTCTAAATACGGTAATAAGATAAAACGAAGTTCTAATCCATCAATACATTCCGTACTACTAGACCACAAAGTCAGCTTCATTATATCTGGTTATAACAATTTAACTGCAACATAACTTATTGCCACCGTAATTACTACAGCGGATTCATATGATAAAAAGTATTATGATTGTGCACCATTATTATGATACTATCTTACTTGCGAGAATTGGTCAGGTAATGCCAATCAACTTGATTTTTGTGCGTAATGAATCATATCATACCTTTTGTTATCATTGTTTTACGATATTAAAGCTGGTAAGTTAAAATTCCTAAGGGTATTTAGACGGCTAGTAGACAGAGCTTGTGTTTTGGATTAAAGGGTATCAGAATTATAAAAGAATTTCTATTATAGTTATATATTTTCCATTGTTAATTAAAAATAAATTGATTTGCATGTTCTTTTCATCCATTCATCTTTATTATACCCATACAAATCTTCATTTTTGTATTATGCTACCATTACGGTAATCGATTTATAACGATATCATTCAGTGGGGTGTCAAACATATCAAGTTGTGTCTTCCAAGTAATTAATAGTTCCCATAAGACATTTAGCAGAATTAACTTAAATTATTTGTTCAATCAAGAACTCATAGTTATTAATTTATTACCAATGATTTCCCATTTTTTCAACTCCAGTAAGGTTTGATTTTCTTCGTTGGAACTCAGACAGAGGTTCTTTACAAGGTTCGTCATCAGCTGGAATGAATCGGAATACTTTACAGCGTCCCAGTTAGTGAAATCACAATGAGCCCATTGATTCCTTACTTTGTCTCGTACCTGATATAGAAAATTCATACTTCATGTATAACTTGTATTTAAAGTCTTAAATAAGGCAGTCCTTTGCAATCCCCATAACAGGACATCATATTTATCTACATTTTTCGTGTTATCCTTTAATAAAAGCAATACTGACTGATCATTGATAGTTTCGACAGCTTTACCAGGTAACAATTAAATAGGAGTAAATCTTTATCATGACGTACACCTTTTTTAATATTTTGTCATCCATATTACCATGATTACAGCATTTCAAACACTTGATTTTTTTTTTACTTAATGGATTATTTCTCAGGTTCACAAATAATGTTTGCTACAGAAATAAAGTGACTGGTTCAAATTATGCATTGAATCTGTTGTGTGTTTTGAAATTATCTATAGTTATCTGCGCATCTGAACCAATGTTCACCATAACTTTGCAAAGTAAGATTCTTTCGTAATAATACATAGAGATGTATAGTCATTTTAATATATAAACTTTTGATTTACATAACTTTGTAAATGTAGGTTCTCTGGTAATAACAAATAGTGATTTATAGTCCCTTGACCATATCAACTTATGTTGAACTGAACTTTGTAAATGAAAGTTTTCTTTTTCTTTTTCATTGAATTAACAAATAGGTTGAATGGTAATTTCCGAATATCAACTTATGTTTAACTTATCTTTGTAAATTAATGTTCTCTCGACAATATGGGATAAATAGTGATTTAGAATTGAAGAAAATTGGTTTTAAAAGGAATATCAATACCATAAATCACTGGAAAAGAATACATCTAAACGATAAAAATATCGAATTATTTTTTTTTTGGGGGGGGGGGGGGGGACAAAAATGGTAAGATATCAGTAAAATATCAGTTTACATAGATACTACACGTACATCTTTAGCATTTGACTTTACCACTGCAGGGAACTTGTCAATGTTGATGATTAATCCAAACAACGCGGAAAAATCGCATGTTTCGTCAAACCCTGTATATTGTGCCATGTGTGTCTGTAGAAAAAGCTTGGATAAATCAACAACACTCTTGATTGTGTAGTCGTACTGTGCACTTTGGTAACCATACAATGCTTTGTTGTTGTTGACAGCGTCATAATTCAGAAAGGTTTTTGTTGGTTGATATTGCTTTAAACGTGTTGAATATGTTTGAGTATCAATTTTCTGTTTGAGGGTTAATTCTTCATAAAGTGGAGTTAAAATTGGAATAACATATTTCCTCAGTGCTGGTGATATTACGCTGTGAAGACATACTCCCACAATCAGGTGTCTTTTCTGATTATCATTTAAAACTGCTGGTGTTGCTGTAAAAAAGGATTAAAATATTATTTTTTTCATCATATGTCAAATGCAGAAAGCATATTATTTTCGGACTTTGATTAAGTGTAATCATCTAAATGTCTATTGGTATAAGTGTTTCAACAGTTATATTATAAATTATCAGGTAAGGAATTGTGTAAAATTGTTCCTTTTATTACCATAATGTCAATTCAGTCTGTGGTATACATTTCATACACATATAAAGCACAAAAATTAACATATGTTTAGAATCACAGAAACGACAATCACATGCAAATTTAAATGTTGAACAACGGGTTGCTTGCTGATGAAAGGACTTAAAATTGATGTGGAGTGCAAAGGAGGCAAGAAAATGAATCATTCAATAAAAGTATACTTAAAAGAGACGCGGAAGTAACAGTTTGAAAGTGATATTCAAACTTACGATAGTTGATGTGGTTCTTTAGTGTTTCTCGTTTCTCGTTTTTTTAATATAGATTAGAACGTTGATTTTCCTGTTTGAATTATTTTACACTAGTCATTTTAGAGCCCTTTATAGCTTGCTGTTCGATGTGAGCCAAGGCTCTGTGTTGTAGACCGTACTTAGGCCTATAATTGTTTACTTTTTTTTGTCTCATTGACACTCATACCACATCTTATTTCTATTTACAAGTTATGTTGATTTATATTCCCATATATAGTAAATCACAACATACATCTTAAAACGTATCAACGTATTAATTCCTTAATGTAGAACTATCAAAATGAATATCAAATGTATGATATAGGACAGCAAATAACTCATCATGTCTGACAGTAAAGAATTAAATGCAGAAAAACTGATTATATACAAATGTAGCCCATGACTGGGTTGCTAAAAACTATGGCTTAACTAATCCATTGGTTAGCTTATCCGATGGATATTTCTCTTTTCCAGGGCATGCCATCCGTTGGCTATTTATCCATTATTGCTCAAACAACAAAATTGAAGTATGGTAAGTTAGCCACTCGTGAAGTCACATAACCAGTGGTTACTTATTAAGTTACTTAACCAATGTTTAACTGCTACTTACTATTCATATGAGTAACCATAATTCATTGTCTACCCAAAATCAGTAATACACGTTCTCTAAATCTGTGGTAATTTAACCTTTTCCGGACCCATTGTAAAAATAAATTTTAATCAACGTGTGGTTGCCGATGATCCCAGAAGATGATTGGATGAGTTTAGCTTTATCAGCTCACTGAATGAATCAAAACGTTCTAAAAGGTTTTAATGAAATTGACAACCTTGTGGAATGTGGAAGGCACTCGAAGGGATTTTCGTTATCAAAAATGATAATTTATTTGATAATCATTAGAGAAACAGATTCTTACATAGTTACTCTTGGATTATCGGATTTATCCAATCTCGATAGTTAAATTATCAATTTTAACTATCTCGATTGGATAAATCCGATAATTGAAATCAAACAAAGTTTAATTTTGGACCCTTTGAAAAGCAATGTGGGCCAATTTGAAAACAGGCCCCAAAATAAAGAATCTCAATACACGGTTAGATTCAGCATATCAAAGAAACCCAATAATTCAGTTTTTGACGAAATCAAACAAATTTTGATTTTGGACCATTTGGACCTCAATGTAGACCAATTTAAAAACGGGTTCCAAAATCCAAAGAACTAAATACATGGTTAGATTTAGCATATTAAAGAACTGAAAATATTCAAGACTTTGAAGTAAACCCGATTGAAATTGGTCAAGAAATAAGTAATGTAATCAAAGTATTGGTAAACCATAGTTTTTGGCCTCATTTACCTAAACGATTAGGGCCATTACCCCGAAAATCAATCCCAACCTTTATTTTGAGGTATGAAACCTAGTGGTACAATTTCATAGAAATCCATACACTTTTACATCCTGAAACCAGAAAAATGCTTGTTTTGGCCCTTTTTGGTCCCTTATTCCTAAACAGTTAGGAGAATAAGTTCAATAACCCTGAAAATCAATCATAACCTTTCTTTTAAAGAGGTACTAAAACACTCATGACAAGTATTTCTTATCTTAAAGTTCGAAACAATTGATAAAAAATGCAAAAAACCCGATGCAATTCGGTCCACTAATTACAGAGATAATAGCGTGTAAAGGTCAACTATTTTTACCTAAGGAAAATCCATTCAGCGCTACTTCCGGAAACAGCACTAAAACAAAATCTACCAGAAGTGACGCACTGTGGATCACTTCTTCGGCTTATCTTAACGTTGTTTGATAATGAACTTTCTCCTGGTCGTTGATTAAAAGCACTGCCAATGAATTTCGCTACCCCTTCAAGACTCATTCTTTATTATGACCAATTTGTCATAAAGAACAAAATTTTTTCAGAAGGGAAATGTATTTATAATGTGTTTCAATAGAAACAGGGGAGATGGCAGGGTTTCCCCTGGTCAACCATTTTTTTCGCCACTTTCAATTTTTTTTTCGCAAAGTAACATAGATATATTTTTCGTTTAAAATTTCTTTCTAACCAAAAAAAAAATGAGTTTGCCCCTTTGTTGTCTATGATTATTCTCTTAATCTTATCTATTAGTCTACATTGTCATGAATAAACACTAAACATTTACTTTTTAAAAGATACTCGTCTGTAAATATTGCAATGTACAATGTAGATCATGAAATCATCATTTTGACTTCTGGGAACAAGAGATTATCTTCAATAGGTTTATCGGATATATATTTCCCTTCTAGTTGAAGAATAAAGACTAAAGGCATAGATTTTTCTTACTTTTGAATATATTTCTTTATAACGATAGTTTTCCTTTCCGGACCATCGTAAATGAAATAGTAGAAACGTAAAACTATGTTTGAAGTTAAAACACGTGCGTCGCCAAAACGACTTAAAGTACCATCTCCGAATCAATTATCTATATCAAAGTTAAAGGATAATGTTTTAAGTCGGAGATTTTTCTTGCTTTTGAACATTTTTCGTCATAATAACAGTTTTCATTTCCGGATCATCGTAAAAGAAGAAAAGGAAACGAATACTATGCTTTAAACACGTGCGTCGCAAAGTTGTTGATAAAAACTTTATGTGACATTTGATGGACGCCATTTAACCACAACATTTAGTCAAACAATACAATCAACACCTTTATAAGTTAGTCCATTGTTGCCTACAGCTATAAAATGTAATCAGCTGATTATTGATTTTCTGTCAAAATCGTAACGGGTTCAAGGTGAATTCCCAGAATTGTCTGATCAGGTAAAGCCAGAGAAACCCGAAAACAATTAAATAAACAGGATGGATGAATTTATGTCGTTACAAATTTTTTCGCCAATAATGAATTTTAATCGCCAAAATTTTTATTTTTTCGCAAAATGTGATATTATTATACATATAAAATAGGCCTGTGATTTAGGACACAGACATAGATTGCAATTGTAAAATATGTCTCTATGGTGAACGTACTGAAAGTTACAGAACAGAAAGTAACAAATTATATAGTACAAAAGTCGGACATACTATTTGTTTAGTTTTGATTGAAAACATATTTCTTAATTTTTTTTTAATTTTTTTTTGCATATATTTATTTTACAATTTAAGAAATAGTTCATAAACCTTGAGTAATGAAGAGATGTAAAATTTTATGCATGAAAAAGATATATTTATTATTGGCACTATGTCATAATGAAACCATTTAAGAGCCAAGCCACTTTGACAAATTGTTATCTTAACAATTATTTTTTCATTATTGACTTTTTCAGAATAAATTTTGTTTACAAAGTTGCCAAATATATATAGGTTCTAGAAAAAATACAAAAATGATTTTGACAAATGTTTTCTTATTAAATAAAAAGGATAAACTCAAAACTGAATTGTGATTTTTTTTGTACTGTGACTTTCTATCCTACATTCGTCCGTAGATAGGACTATGCTCATGATGCTGGGATCTGATATAACATTGGTATAACAATATTTTTACATAAGGTCCAAGGACTATGACAATCATATATACTTATAATGATTTTCCTTTTAAAATTTTGTTTGATTTCTAAATCTTCGTATAGACTAATTACAAGTCTATCCAGTATTTCATTTTTAAGGAAATAGCTTGATCAATACATATTCAGGTTTTTGCTAAACCAGTCAAGCAGATTACTGTGACTGACAGTACTCAATTCTTCACATTATCTAAACAATAAACTTATATAATGTTGAAAAAAAGAGGGGCAAAAGATATACTGCTGTAACTAAAGTCCTTCAGTAAGTAATTAAAATATTTTTTGTTTTGCTCAGAAAAACCAACATAATTTAATTTAACAAATCAACAATTTACGTTCTCCGTCGTCTTTTGAGAGCACGTGTTGGGAGTGTCCTATTTTGAATGCCGTTTCTCCGCCATGGAACTTAACATTCACGGATCTATTCTGCTTCTACCGTTACACGGTAACCATCAATGAACTGATTAATAATTATTTTGACACTTTAGGATGCATATGTAAATATTTTATAGAAACAAAAGGTTGATTTGTGCCTTTGGTTTTCCAATACTTTTCTAATTATAAACATTTGATTAAAATATTTATGCGATTATCAAGCCTCGATAAATGTTTATCAATATTCTCAATGTAATAATTGTCACCTATATATATCAAAACTGTTGTTTTACTAAGCGAGCTGTGATCTGTTTACATATAACACACGTATTTGATCAGGGTGACCCACTTTGCGTCACTTCCACTAGGTAGAATTAGAGGGTGTTAGTGGCGTGTTTTACTAAATCGTTCAGGTGTGCAAATGGCAAACAGACAGTTTTAAAGTTTGGAACCTTGTGGTACAATTTCATAGAAATTCATACACGTATACCTAGGGGGACCCACTTCAATACTTACATGTAATTGATATGGGTTGCCGTTGGGGTTCTGTTACCTCAATCTTTTCACATAATTTAGATTTCAAAAATGTATAACTTTTGATATATTGCGTAAGTAGACAATCATGTAACCCTTTCCCGTGTTGGTTGGGTGTCGTGTGATGTGTTGGAACAGTGGAAAACCAAAGTGTGAAAAGAGGCATACATAGACAACCAGGAACACCAAGAATGATAATCGAGTAAATATCACCTTTGCTGGGAGCTCAGTTCTGAGACTAAGTTTTCTTATGTAATGTCGAAGAATACGTCATACCATTATACGATCGAAACATTTTGCAGTCGTAAGAAAAATCCAACATCGTGATAATGCCAGTTTATGATTATTGAATACGCTACAGATACCTGTTACTCGCGGTAGTTTTGCAGCTGTCTCGTCCATTTTATCTTGGAATTCCTGTGGTATTGCGCGCTTTATGCCTCCTGATGTTGAAGGTGGTTCTTCCATGTTGTTAGAAGTAACAATGCATTAATATATGTCACAGGATAGTTATTTTATATATTGTTTTCCATTTCTCCATCTGTGTATTTATACACCTTTAACAGCTATATTGTTATTGACATCTCATTCTGGAATGATAAAAATAAAATACAGCTAGTCATTTATCAGTACGAATGCTCTGTTCTGTAACAATAGTATACTTATAGAAAATCGCAGGAGGTAACTAAAAGTGTTTCCGAAATTTTAATGGTAAACTGATGTTAAATTGTGTGGATTCTTTCACATTGTGAACATAAAGACTTTTCCTAAGATGTGTTACTTTAAACCATGGAAGTTATATTGAAAGGAATAACAACAACGGCAGTTCAAAGGTTTCATTTGCGTTACCGCCTATCTTTCGATTACTCGTTAATCAGTTTACGATATGGAATGGTAGTTGATTCTCCGCATGTGATCGATCAAATCACTGACACTTGTCGGTCGTTTTCGTGTTCACGGAATATTACGAACAGACAAGTTGTTGTCTGATATACGTGCGAAGTAACCCGAATAGTCCACTCGTTAAATTCCGCTGATATACGCTGTCGAATAGAGTAATTCGTTCAATGTTGATTTTAGTCTAATTTTCCTATTTCTGTTTATTTCGATCTTTTAAAATAGTTTAAGCCGACAGCTAGCACGTATGAAATTGGAGAACATGGTTGGATCGTTTTCAATTTTAATATTTACAGACAGTTAAGACGCCATTTCTTAAAAATTTAAGAATATGAGTGTACAAAAAATATGTTTGGACCCCAATTTATTAAATATGAATAATCCAAGTCATGCGTGTATACCAGTCAATTAAAATATTCACAAACATTTCTAGTCTTTAAACTAATTCGTATAAATAAATTTGCGGTTAGGCAGATATGGTCCAGCTCATTTTGTCTGTTTCTTTTTATTTTTGCTGTAGCGTGTTATATTAACTGTATAAAAACACTTTTTTAAAATAGATATTTACGAACTTATTATCCCGATTTTGGTTGTCCAGTTTCAATAATGTAATCAATGACATTTATTACATATACATGAATTTAAAATACTTGAAGGTAAATATCCTTTTTTAAATCTCGATAAACTTTGCACATTTCAACAGTAAAAAAATCTATGTTTTCATTTGTCTTCATTATTTTGTTATACATCATGTGAAACCTGATCGCATCATCAAAACCAAGTGTTTTACTCGGGATCCGCTTTCAATCGGAAAATACTTTTAGATCAGTTTAAGACGAAAGGTAAAAAGCAAAAATATGCAAAAATAAATACAATTTTCCATGTTTAACTGCTGTAGTGTAAACAATTCTCGTCCTTTTTTCAAGTTTTTTACATCATTCGATTTCTGTTTGAAGGTAGAAGTTTTATATGATACAGCGCCACCTTGTTAATTAATAAACTAGGATTTCCCACAGGTGCTTTATAATTACCGTACTCGATAAAATCACGTGACTGATAAGAAATTCCAGATGCCATTTTACAACCGCGGTATCACATATAGTAACCAAAGGGGTCTTGCCGCTGAGACTATAATTGGATAAAATCATATGCCTTTAGTGCAGAGCTCTGCATGCCGTTAATACATGCTAATTAGTCGTTGTTATTCCTTTTAAATATTACTTCCATGTTTGAACAAAGCCAAGATTTTACTGCAAAATTAACAGATGTAACAGATTTTGAATAGCATATAATATTTTTGCCTCAATTTGAGTTGCAATTATAACACAGAGAATTACTTTTTTTTTTAATTTGTGATTTTTAACCAATTTCAAAAACTAAGTTTTAACCACACACTCTTTTCAGGAAACGAATTTTGATACGTGGTTCAATTTCAAATAGGTATTATTTATACATGTCAGTTTTCGTTGGACAAGAAGATATTTCTCAAAACTTGTGATGTTTCATCCCTAACATAGTTGTTACTGAAAATTTGACATTAGGGTCAATTTTGAATAACATATTAAACCTACACTTAAATTTTTAATTCAATCCTTACAGAGAATGATTCTCAATTTTTGTGATTTTTATCAGGTTTTCACAAGATAGTTACTTTCTTCCACTTCATTTGGTTCTAGTGGTCAGTCGTCTCAATGGTTATTATACTACATTTCCGGTCGTATTTTCGTTTGATGCGTTTGCGTTTCTGATTTTGTAATTTGATAAAGGACTTTCCGTTTTGAATTTCCTTTGAGTTCGGTATTTTTGTTATTTTACTTTTTAACACAATTCATCAAATGTTGCCACAGAGTATTTATGAGATATAAGTACTAGTACTATATATACCACATGACCAATTTGAAATATCATACTTATTATACTTATAGTTCAATTTGAGTTGAAATCAAAAGTAAGAATTGTTAACCAAAACGTATTTTTTTTTCAAAAAAATATAATTTTTCAAATTAATATTCATTCCAACCTATACTTTTAGGTTTTGTTTGGCATTAATTTTACAAAAGTGTTTCTCAATCTGTTCGAATTACATAAGAAAAGTGGGTTTTTTTTAAAAAAAATATAATTAGCATATCTACATTATATGCATACCAATTGTGCAAATTTGCATTGGCCTATCAATATTTTTGGAGTTTTCGCATTGACAACTAATGTAAATGGACAGATGGACGTCAAAATGAAAAATTGTAGAGCCTTAAAATACATTTTGCGCACACCAATTTGTTCAGAGGGATCAGCCTCAAACACATCTGTGGGCATGGTCATTAGTCAATCAGATTCAATATCTCCGATTAAAAATGTTATATTTGACACATTTTTAGAATAATGTAAATACAAATGTATTATTCTCTATTCGATTTACAATACTCTCAGCGGGGTTTAATTAATGATCAAAAACGTTACACAGATAGATTAACGTTTTTCGAGATCAGTTTTGAGGACGTAAAGTAAGATAAAAATAGATAAGTTCGATTTTCTGAAAACTAATAGATGTTTAAACAAACACGATTGAAATCAAAACGGGGACAATGATTCGCAACCTAACTAAACAGATAAATCATAATGTAATAATGAACGGCAAGAGAGAAAATATGAGAAGGGAAAAGAAAAACAAACATTTCAAAATAGCAATGATGAACATAAATACGAATAAACTCATTGATGAAAGTCGCACGGTGACCTACAGTTGTTAACCTCTATGTCAGTGTGGTCTCTGGTTAAGAGTTGGCTCATTGGCAATTATACCACATTTTCTTATTTTTATATGAACAAACCTTGAGTGAGACTTATCATAGAAAAGTCAATATGCACGAATATTAACCCCCTTACCCTTCACCTAAAAAAGGAACACATGGTCGCAATCATACATTTTCATATTAGACCTATAATTGAAAAATTGTACACTTGTAAGATGTCTTACAATTAAACAATTCTCAAATCGACAAAAAATATCTAGAAATGTCTCTAAATATTGTCTTCATTTTTCGGATTTTTTTGTCGTAACTACAATCCCGTCACCTTTTCACGAATGTGACCTACCGAATGACCAAATTAGACTTATTACCGGGTTTTGCTAACATGAGTTACACGACGGGTGCCACATGTGGAGCAGGATCGGCTTACCTTTCCGGAGCACCTATGACCCCCCCCCCCCCCCCCCCAGTTTTTGATGGGGTTCGTGTTGCTCAGTCTTTAGTTTTTTATGTTATGTTTTGTGTACTTTTGTTTGTCTATTTGTTTGTCGGTCTTTTTCGTTTTTAGCCATTGCGATGTCAGTTTATTTTCGACTTATGAGTTTGAATGTCCATCTGGTTTTTTTCGCCTCTTTCTTGTCAGAAATAAACAATATTAAGCGATTTTTTCAAGAAGATTTATTTCTCTAACTCAATACTGTTAATCTCTTTTTTAATGTTTTTAATGATTTTCTCACTATCCCTACATTAATTTTCTGCAAACGTTAAAACAAATTCAGCTTAAAATTGATGGACTGTTATTGACAACTGTGTGTCAAATCTGACTTTCAATTGTGTTTGCTACGCTCGATAGCTCTCTTTGAGATTTTAGTTAAAATGTTTTATGTCATCTTTTGTCACCTTACTTACTTAGTTTTGACTGGGATATTCTGTTTACTGTTATTTAAGTTTTTATAAAACAAGGTAGCTTCGGAATGAATAAAGAGGTTACATGTTTTGTTCTTTCTTTCGTTTGTAACAAAAAGAACAATTAGAATAATTAACTTACCATTTCTGGAGTTCTGTACTTTTTGTAAAATTTTAAGGTCCCATTAAATCAGTTATCATATGACATAGAAGGATATGAACTTCATGTGTTTAATTTTATAAATGTAAAGGGCGTAAAATGGCGTTCAATCTTATAACAGGGGATATATCGAGGATTTATATGTTACTGCGTTAAGTATGCAACATTGTACGATACACATCCTTCTTTATCACTAGAATTTAAAGGACAATTTAATTTGACATGAATGCAACAATAATTTTTCCAAATAATTCATCTCTTTCAGTTTTTTTTTTTAAAGTAGTATATACCCTTAAGGAGACCCTGATAAAGTTGAAGTGTATGATCCAGTTTATAATTAACAAATATTTTAAATGTTAAATCATTCATTCGTGAATGTAATGTAAAGAATTCTGTACGATTTGATATTGTAGACTATTCAAAAATATTGAATAGGGTAAATACAAGTTACCAAGTGACGTACTTTGTTGGTATTTAAAAATCTTTCTATAGCAATCTTTTGTTATACATGAATTTTTCTATCGGTGAATTCCCTAACCTATCAATTATTTTATATCTATTTTTTAAACTGTTCGTCTTGAATTACCTACCAGCTGCATGTATGCAAGTAACACACTTTAATTACCTCATTTACTGTTTACTGCGTAATGTGTGAAGCTTAGTCATATCTTAACCAATTGTAAACATAACAATTTAACGTTAAACAAATATTACAATTTTACGTGAATTGAATTTAGGTGTTTTCTACATTTATGCATTAAATAAACGTCATTTATGAGTGGAGTCAGCCACGAATATAAAAGACGACTATAACCGATAACAAGAAATAAATAAATATTTATTTTATTTTGTTCTTGCTCTTTAAATGGCAAT